TATCTATCTATCTATCTATCTATCTATCTATCTATCTATCTATCTATCTATCTATCTATCTATCTACGGAACTATGCTAGAGAAACTTTTTATGAGAATATCAAATCAGAACCTGATATGCTCCTATGGGGAAGAGAGGCATAACAAGTGTTTGACCAAGGTCTCATATTTGCATAATCATGTTAATTAAGAAGAGTGAGTTAGATTGGCTTTGGGAAATTAAGTAGTCTCTTCAATGACCCCACGCTTCATCCTGATACAAAGACCCATCTTCTAAAGGCCAATATTCTTCTGGGGACACTGTATGGCAGTAAGTCATGGAAACTCTGAGAATTAAAGCAGAAGGTCACTCAAAAGAGAGGTGCATAATGAGCAAGAAAGAGAGGCTGTAACATTACTAACCAGTAACTGGGCAAGATAAATGGTACAAAAGATGCCATCAGAAAGATGTGCAATTGGAAAATAAGGTATACCAGTTATATATATATAGAGAAGAAGACCCAATGGACATCTGGTGTGTTCCAATGATATCAACATATTGTCAACAATATTAGAGGAAGGCCTCTTCATTGAGTGGGTTCCCATTTTTGATGATTAATTGGAGGAAATGGGCAGGAATAGCTAAGGATGAGAAGGTGTCAATAGGTTGAGAACTACACTGTTAGAGAATATTCACATTGATGAAATCAGAGATCCATTAAAGTATTGAAGTAACAAGTTAATTAAATTTACTCAAAATAACTAATAATAATAGCTAATATTTATATAGTATTTTAAGGTTTGCAAAGTGCTTTAATGTATTATCTCAATTGATCCTCACAATAACCTTGTGAGAAAGGCGTTATTATTATCTCCATTTTACAGATGAGGAAACAGGCTGAGACCATTTAAATAATTTGCCCAAGGTCACACAGTCAGAAAGTGTCTGAAGCAGGTTTGGAACCTCTATATCCAACACTTTACCCACAAGGCAATCAAGCTACTTGTGAAAATTAAATGGTGATGTTGAGACTATCTTTACCTTCTTCACCAGCTAAAGTTTGGTAGGATAAGAATTCCACTAACCTCAGAACAGGTTTATCATTTCTCATTTCACTGGGGGGGGGGAGAAGGAGGAGGATGGGGAACAGAAACAGCTTTGTTGTATTTGGTTTAAAGTAGAGAAACTATCTACTATATCATAGTGCTTCTCATGGGTTATTAATAAGTTTTTTTCTTTTATAATTATTTCCCCAATTTTCTCTTCTAAGCATCATAAAATGAGTATGTATGTTACTTAGCTCTGTTCAGCATCTAATATTTCATAGAATATTTGATTACAAAAGGTGGAGAAAGCATGGCATAGTAACTAATGGGGAACTGTAAACATTCATAATCTCCAAAACGTTATTTCAATATTTCTTACCATTGGATGAAAACATAAATCGCTTATGTGACAGAGAACCACTGAGGAAAAAAAGAAAGAGTACTTATTGTTAGATGAGTTTCTCCAAGGGCAAAATAAGAAGGTATACCTTATATAATGTAGACACTCACACTGCACATAGATGTTAAAGGATATACATGGGCCATGAAATGACATGTACACAAGACATACCATCCTTCACTCTGAGAATTTTCATTGAATTTTCTTCTTCATCTCTGTCTCCTGTCCTCCCAAGCTTTGTTCAAGTCCCAGTTAAAATCCTGCCTTCTGCAAGAAGCTTTTCCAGATCTCCCTTAATAGTAGTGCCTTTACTCTGTCAATTATCTCCAATTTATCCTGTATTTATCTTGTTTGTATACAATTTTTTGCATGTTGTCTTCCAAATTAGACTGAGAACTCCTTGAAAGCAGGTACAATTTCTTTGCCTTTCTATGAATCTTTAGTGCTTGAACAGTACCTGACATGTAGTGGAAGCATAATAAATGCTTACTTACTGAGAGGCTTTAGAAAGCAATACTATTACTGAAAAAGAGTGTTTTTCCTTACATAGTGATCTCAGTTTTCCATTCATTCTCAACATTAAAATTTCATTAACAGAACAAAAAATTCTTACTAACCTTTACCAACTATAATATATTTTCATTGTTGTGCAAACTTTCTCTTGCAGATTCAAAGGGTGCTCTTAGCCATGAAATTTTACTCTAGAGACCCAACCAATGTACCACAGTCATTGCCACTCAACCCTAACATCTACTTTCCTTTCTGTTATTGGTTCCTGGACTTCCTCTGTCTCATGAGGGATCCCAGCTATGCTCACTTCATTTCTGGCTCAACTCAATCTCTGGACTTATTATATGCCTTATATGCCACTTTGCTTTCACAAAGGCTACATCAAACTTTCTCCTTAAGGCAGCAATTATCACCCTGTAATCTGAGTACTAAAAAACAAACAAAACAAAATAAAACAAAATATTTTGATGACTGTATTTCAATATAATTAGCTTCTTTTGAATACTATGTATTTTATTTTCTACATTTAAAAACATAATCCTGAGAAAAGGTCTATAGGCTTCATCAGACTACCAAAGGGGTCAAAGACAAAAAGATTAAGAAACTCTGCCTTAAGGCCTGGTACCCTGCCTCACTCTTGCATTCTTGGTACATGATTTTTCATTCTACTTTAGTGAAAAAATTAAGATAATCAAACAGGAAGCAACCTGCATTCATGTCTGCATGCCTTTGTATAGCCTGTTCCCATGCCTGGAATTCACTTTCTCCTCACTTTATCTCTAAGAATCTCTAGCTTCCTTCAAAGCCCAGTTTAGGTGTTAATCATCTATAGGAAGCCTATTTTGATCCCCTCAGTTATTATGATCCTCTCCCTTAGAAAAATACTGTGTGTATATGTAATTATATTATATATTTATATTTACTTATCTGTGCACATATTTTCCCCAATAGAATGTCAGTTTCTTGAGAGTAAGGATTGTCTCATTTTTTTTATCTGTATCTCCAGTGCCTAGCTTTATGCCTGGTTTAAGAAAGATGCTTACTAAATGTTGTTGTTTGATATTACAGAAGAGAAAACTCCTTTGTCATTGCTTACCAAATCTCATCAATTCATCTCTTACACAATCTATTGCGTCCATCTATAGTTCAGATCCATTTAATATCATACTTGGACAACTTTGTGCCCTAAGGATCATGAGATATTTCTATCTGACTCATAGTTGAAACCTTCCTTGTGTTACCTTCCCTATTACAACAGCTTCTTGAGAACAGGGACTGTCTTACTTTTCTATCCTTATCCCTAGTGTTTAATTAACACATTGCTTTGTACATAGTGCTTAATAAACATTCTATTAGTCATTCATTCATTATTCTAAGACCCCAATTCATTTTCCTACCTCATCTTTCTTGTTCCAATTCACAAGGTGAATTGGTACTGCCAAACTAATTATCCTAAAACACCCCTTTCACTGTATCAGTTCCTTGCTCAAAAACCTTTAGCTGTGTGACCCTGGGCAAGTCACTCATCCCCAGTTGCCTTCCTACAAAGCAAACAAAACAAAACAAAACAAAAAACAAACAAACAAATCTTTAGAGGCTTCCTATGGACTATAAAGTCTAAAGATTGATGACTCAGCTGTGAATTAAACACTTTCCAAAATTTGGCCTCAGCCAAAATTTCTAGCCTTATTTCTTGCTAATTTTCTATGTAAATCTGCTGCTTGTCAACCTGTTCTACTTACAGATGCCAAATACACACTGCCTTTTCTTGGCTCAAGACTTACCTACCTTACCTACAACACTCCATCTTCCATTTCTGTCTTTGCTCCAGCTATCCCCCATGCCTGCAATGACCTCCCCTCCCTGCCTCTGGCTTTTAGAATCCCCTTCATCCTTCAAAACTCAGTTTAAGCACCACATTCTATATGAAGCTTTTGCAGTGTTCCCCAGCTACTAGTGCCCTTCTTTCCAACACTACCTCATATTCATTCTGCATATACTTAAATATGTTCCAATTAGAATGTAAGTCCCTAGAGAGCAGGGGCTTTTCCACTTTTGTTTTTGTAGCATGGCACTTTGCACAGTGCCGAGGATTTAGTAGGTACTTAATCAATGCTTACCAAATGATTGATCACTTACATTGCTGTCCACACATTCAACCTTTCTTTGCCAAACTCAAGCTTTCCAAATTCTATCCTTCCAACAGGCTAAGTTCAAATATTACTTCCTCCATCAACATTTCCTGATTCTTCCAGGCATAAGAGATTTCTCTGTCCTCTGAAGTCCTACTACAATTATTGTCTATATCACTAATATACAATGCTTGTCGACTTAGCTTAATATGCTATTTATCATGTTTTGTACTGTAGTTTGTGTTTGTATTGTAGTTCTCTGAATATACATACTGTCTTCCCAAATGTACTGTAAAGTCCTGAAGATGTCATTTTTTTTTTTTGGTGTCCTTCCCCAACTTTCCATTAGCTGTCTGTTGTATCACTCAATCAATCAACAAGCATCTACTAAGCACTTTTTATGTGCCAGGCCCTATGCTAAGTAGTAGAAGCTCAATTTTTTTTTTTCAATGAATATTAGTCAAGGGAAATGTTATTACATTGGGCATTCAGAGACATTTTTAACAATAAAATTGAGTAAGTGCTGTATGCACAATACTGTATTTTAAGTAGGGAATTTTTTTTCAACATTAGATTACGTTGCCTCTTCTTCCAAGGAAATTATCTAAGTTTGGGATATTTAACTTGGAAAAGAGTATCCTCAGGAAAAGCATGCTAACTGGCTTTAAATATTATGAGGATTGACTCATGGAAGAAAGGCTAGATTTACTCTGTTTTCCTCAGAGGAAAGAACTAAGACCAATAAGGTAGAAGCTACTAGCTACTGGAAGGCAGATTTTTACTCCACTTCCTAACACTTTGAATAATGCAAGTCCAAAAGACCAGGCCATCCTATGAGGCAGTAAGTTTCCCGTCAATGGATGACCACTTGTTGTTGATTTTGTAGAAAGGATTCCTGATTCAGGCAGGCTAGAGAATCTCCAAGTTCCCTTCCATCTCAAACTCTAGTATCTAATGATAACAATTAAAAATTTGAATATGTTTCTCTTTCAACTATTCATAGCAATAGAGGACAAGAACGGGGGAAAACTCAAATCTCTACCTAATCTAAATAAATTTCATTTTGGTCAGTAGTTTCAGCATGTCTCATTAAATCTTTTAAAGCAGTTATCTTTATAAATGTGAATTTCATCTTTTATTTCCCCAGTCCAATCTCTGGAACAGGTTCTAGAAGTTGTGAAAGGGCCAAAAAGGATATGAAGCAGGGCTTAAAAAATCCATACATTTCATAATTATCTCTTGAATGATTGTATGTTGCCTAATAAGAAGCACTTTCTTTACTATACCTCTGTCTGCTCTGGAAAGATTGATTCTATTAACCAGTTATAAACAAGACAAACTGTCAGCGCTAATTCAACCACCCCCAACCCAAATCTGCAATACCAGAATCAATTAATCAAATAATAAGTATTTATTAAGCACCTACTATGCACTGGGTACTGTGCTAGACATGAGGAATACAAGTATAACAAATGAAGTAATCTCTACTCTCAATGAATTTACATTCCAATGGAGTTCAGAGAAAACAAGTACATATAAAAATGCATGGAACACAAATAAAAAGTGAATAAATGCTTAGTACATCTACCTATAAGCATATAGATGCATATATATGTACACACACACAAAGTAGTTAAATATAAATTACAAGGGGAGGGAGAGCACTAGAACTTGGCAGGGAATCGGTAAAAGCATCATGTAGAAAATTCTGTCTACATCTTAAAGGGAGTGAGAGACTCTGTGAGTCACAGGTGGAGTTAGGAGTGCATTCCAGCCATGGGAGATGGCCAATGCAAAGGAACAAACACTGGGTGTGGAGTGTCATGAGTGAAGAATAGAGAAAAGTCCAGTGTGGCTAGGTCGCTAAGCGTAAGAAGAGAAGTAAGGTCCAATGGGACTGGAAAGGTGAGGTTGTGTAACACTTTGAAATCTAAACAGAGGTGTTTGTATTTTATTCTAGTGGCAACAGAAAGCCATTAGAGTTGGTTGAGTAGATATTACATGATCAGATCTGCTCTTGAGGAAAATTACTTTGGCAGAAAGGTATATAATGGACTAGAGTGGTGAGGCTTGAGGCAGGAAGACCAAGTAGGAGAGTATTGCAATAATTTAGGTGAGAGATGATAAGGGCCTGCGTGAGTGAGAAGAAGAGGTCCAATGAGAAGGAGGTTATGAATGTAGACATGGGAAGATTTGACAATTGATTGGGTATGCAGGCAGAAGGAGAGTAAGGAGTTGATGATAATGCCAAGACTATAAACCAGAAATGCTAGAGGGATGGTGGTTCCTTCAAAAGAAACAAGGAAGTTTAGAAGAAGGGAAGGTTTAGGGGAAAATAGAGTGAATACAGTTTTAGACACACTAAGTTTGCATTCCAT